GTTTTCTTGGTTATTCTATTATCTTATCGACAATCTTTATTCTTCATATTCTTCTTTGATTTTCTTATTGTTTATGTTAATATTCTTCTATTATTTGTATTTCATATCTTCATTTGTTTTTATTTTCAATTCATTAACATAAAGTATTTGTTTTTCTATTATTATGTTCATTTATAGTTTATGTACAATTATATTACTTTTGATTTATTCTCATTCAACTTATTGAAATATAATCATTAGAAAATACAAATATAAGAAAATGAATATCTTTGATTTATTCTTATGTTAAATGGATAACATCATGTCAGTAGAATTATATAATAGTTGATTTTCATTCATCATATATTTATATTTCATTTATAAATTCTTTGTCATTGAAATGGTTTATCATATTCTTTCATACCATCATTCTACATTTCTATCATTTTCTTTTAATTAGAATAAATAATGTTGTTAATGTTGTTATTTCAACTAAATATTCTTTAAATTGATATAAGAATATTTTACATCTATGTTGTATTTCTTTCGTTTGTTTTATTGTTGTTTAAGAATTTCTGTTCAATTGTGTGTTTACGAAATATAATGATAACTTAATATATTACATAATCATGCAATATTCTGTCGTTTTTATGAATCAGATGATCTCATTCTTCGTTATTAATAAAATTCATCTGCTTTGTATTTCATTTTTGCTTAATTAGTGTTTATTCAATTGTTAATTTTTTTTTAATTATTCCTTTATTTTTATGTTATTTATCTAATTTATTTGAGTTACATTTATTCCTTTGTTTTTCATTCATGTTCACTTCTTATTTATTCTTTTTATCTTATTTTCATTGTTCCTTTATATCATATATTTCTTCTTTCTCATACACTTCTTTCAAAATTGACAATCTATTTTCTTTTGTTTCATTTCTCTTATTTCTGAATTATGTTTCTGTTTTCAAATATCTTATTATCAATACTTTCTATTCAACTCTTCTCTTATTCTCTCTTTTAAATTCTATTTCAATTTTTTGTATTGATTAAATAGTCACAACAATGGTTTCTTTCTTGTATTTCATTTTATTCTTGTTATTCTTATTCTTTTATATGACTTATTCATTTAGTTTTTGTATATTTATTACTGTCTATTAAGTATTTGTTTCTATTTGAATTGTTATTTTATCACTAAATGTTCATTTCTTTTATTTTTATTTTTCTTCGATTATTTGTTTGGTTGTTGATGTAACTCATAAAGATAATTTAATTGCATTTATTTGAATGAGATAAATATGTTATTCAGTGTTTTTTAGTTATTTTTCATTCTTTAATTTTATTATTTTAAATACTTCCTCTATTCTGACTAGATGGAAGATATTCGTCGGTTATAAATTTAATGAATATCTATGATATATTAAATTAAATAGAGGAATTTTACAAGGTGATTCCTTATCCCCTCTACTCTTCATCATACAGATGAATGTAATTTCTCAAATCAACGAAGAGAAATTCCCAAAATCAAATCACACATTATATATGGATGATTTGAGAATAATGACGGAAAGTAGTGAAGAAATGGGAATGATCCACAACGAAATTAAGGAAATAATAAGTGGAATAGGGATGGAAATGAATGAGAAAAAGTCAGGAATGGTATTAAAAAACAATAAGGAAATACCAAATGGAATGCAAAACATCCCAATCATTGAAGGTGATGACTTGTATAAATACTTAGGAATATGGCAGTCCGACGAAATTGAAGACACCTTCAATTGTAAAACCATCAAAGAAAAAATGATGAAAAAGATGGAAGAAATAAACAGTGATGAAAGTAGTAATAGAAGATATATTACTAGAATAAACACTGAAGTAATCCCTATCTTCAGATATTCAGCATCAGTTGTAAATTGGAAAATCACTGACCTAGACAAAATTGATTTGGAGATAAGAAAATAAATAAGAAAGGCAAAATACAATGATTCAACTCCAAAGATCGACTGTATGTCATTATAGAAGAAATGGGTGAAGGATTAATAAACATAAATGATGAATATGTTATTGAATTAGTAAGAACAGTGATGTACTACTGTACCAGAGAAAGTGAAATAGGAAATAACATATTAGATAGATGTTACAGTAAGAATGGAATATTGAATAGAATTAAAAACATTAATTCATAAAATCCCAGAAATAAAAATAGAAGAAATAATAAATGAAGGGATAGAAAAGAAAAAAGAAAAAGAAGTAGTAGTAGAAATAAAAAAATTAATGATAAACACATCAAAAAATGGAAGTGTCATCAAATTAGTGGATATTTTAGAAGATGGTTTGAGTCAAAATGAGTAGATAAAACTACTACAGTGAAACCATGGAAGTCATTCAATATTAAAAAGAATGCATTTCTCCAATTAACTAAAATGCAAGATGGAGCAATATTTTGTGGGTATAGGAAAGCAAAAATAATGAAAAATGAAAGATTGAAATACTGCACACTATGTAAAGACAAGATAGCTACAGTAGAGCACATTCTACTATCTTGTATTTATCATAAAAAATCACAAATAGAAAAACATGACCATATAGGCATAATAATATTGATTGATAAGAAAATACACAGGAAATAAACAATATAAAAAACCCCCATATGAAACAGTGTTCCAATATAAAGACATCACAATGATATGGAACAAACAAATCATGCATAAAAGTGAATGACAATATCACAAAAGACCAGACATATATGTATTAGATAAAAAGAATAAAAATAATCTATTATTTGATATGACTATTGTTGAATATCACAATATTAATTGAGTGTAAATGAAGAAAAGAAATAAGTATAAAGAATTAAAGAATAGGCTAATGAAAATAGAAAAATTAAAAGATGTCAGAATAATCCCAGTAGTAATTTCAATAAATGGATTAATAAATAACTCAAGTGTTAAATTAATTAAAGAATTAAAAATTGAAATTGACATCAAGAAAGAAATTAAAACCATGTAATACAAAACATGAATGATGTCATGGAATACTGCTTCAATCACAACCAAACATATTCTGTAGAAATACTAGAAGAAGAACTCAGAGATTTGATTAGTCTTTCCTGATTCAAGAAGAATAGAAGCTAGTTCTATTAATACTTAATTATTTGCTTTATTAAATTTTTATGTTCTATTTTTATTTCTTTGTTATTTATAATTTGTTATTTATTTTAAATTACATTCTTTTGAGTCATTTAAGTATGGAAATTAAATAGAAGAAGATGAAAAAAGGTTAAAGTCAAAAAAGAAAATGAATAAATAATGTCAATGAGATAAAGTATAATAAATAATAAAATGAATGAAATGGTTTTTATGTTTATTTATTAAATGTCAATACTAAATAATGAAAATAATATCATTTCATTCTTTTATAGAAGTGAAGAAATATGATAGAATGTAAAATGAAAATAATATTTAAAGAATATCATTCATTTTTAATATAATAACAATATCATAAAATACATTTAACAATTTTAATGTTATTTATTTGGTTGTAATTCAGAATCGCACCATAAATATTAACATAGTCATAAGACTTGAATTATCAGTTATTATCTGGCTATGGTGTTAGTGTTTGATAGAAAATTTCTTATTCAATACTTCAAGAATATTATTGGACATTTATTATAATAGAAGAACGTGTATTTGTAAAGATAATAGTATTTTTACTTGTTCTGATGCAAGTATATGTGTTAATATAGATACTATCAAATAAAATATATGGATATACATTTTGATGATGAATGAAATTAGACATAATAAACATAGTATTAATGGTATATTCATCATAAAATAAGAAAGTAAAGAATGAGAAGTTTTAATATACATGAAATTCAAATAAAGAAGAAACAGTTACTTAAATGAAGAATATTTAAGTTAGGTGTTTGAAAAGATTTTGACTTAATGTAAATAAAAGAATGAAAAATAGAAATTTACATGTCTTAACAACAAAGAGATAAAGAAGAAGTGAATAGTGGATGAGTAAAAAGTCTTAAACTCAATGAAGGGGTTATTCTCCACCAAGCAAGGAATAATAGAAAATAAATTTAATAACACTTAATTAACTACTTTTTATTTTAATTAATTTTAATTAGATTAAAACAAATATTTGACAGTACTACAACCAAAAATTATCTGTTGATAAAAATTAAATAACATTCCAAATATGATAGACATTAATTAATATTCCATTGATGAGATGACATATTGTTATTTAAACATACATTATTCTTATAAATAGAAAGGAATGGAAAAAAATACAAAATTAAAACAAAGGAAATCAGAAAATCAAGCAGAAATTGGTAACACAATAAGTGGTTAATGAAGGGATAAAAACTAATGAAAAAATGAAATGAAGAATGAAACTAATGAAATCCAAGAAGACAAAACAATGAAAATAAAGAAAAGATAATAATTTATAATAATCATAAAGAATATTTTATTGAAGTACAACTTGTAAGAAATAACTCTAAGGAAATATTTTATAAAATTAATTTTAACTATAAAACTAGTAAATTGAATAATTTATTAATAATATTTAAACTAATGCAACTCACTTATTCTTTTTTCTTACCAATTAAAAAATTTTTTTTAATTTATAATATTAAACTATAATAATATTATGAAATATTACCAATTTTAACCATATTTCATTTTGGGATTTTTCTTCATTTTTTGATTGTTTCTAACTTTGAAATATTCAAGTCAACTCAATTCAACTGAAATTCTCTCATTCGTTTTAACTCAAGCATAATAATTAGAACAATAAAATATCTTCAAGTAATTGAAAACTTTTCTCATCAATACTTTTTGTGAGTAATACTAGGAAATCTGTGTGAGACAAAGGAACAAACGTTAATAGATGAAAAGAATAAAGTGTATTAATTTCAACTCAAATAAAAGGGGTTGAGTGGAGCATAAAGACTAGTTTTTGATGACATATAATATATTTAAACGAAGTTCTGAAAAAGATAAATTATTCAATGTTCGCATTTTTATTATTTATTGCATTCACTACTGCAACCAACGTTATTCCTGATATCGAACAAGAATTAAAAGACGTTGGCCTTTACGATTTGTTTTCAAAGAAAGAGTCTATTCATGAAAATGACATAGAAAATGAAGAAGATAAAAAAAGTAGTTCAAACAGTGAATTAGATGAAAATTCTAATAACCAACCAGATGAAAGCTCAAATAATAAACCAAATGAAAGTTCTGATAATAAACCAAATGAAAGTTCTGATAATAAACCAAATGAAAGCTCAAACAATAAACCAAGTGAAAGCTCAAACAATAAACCAGATGAAAGCTCAAACAATAAACCAAATGAAAGTTCTGATAATAAACCAAATGAAAGCTCAAATAATAAACCAAATGAAAGCTCAAATAATAAACCAAGTGAAAGCTCAAACAATAAACCAGATGAAAGCTCAAACAATAAACCAAATGAAAGTTCTGATAATAAACCAAATGAAAGCTCAAATAATAAACCAAATGAAAGTTCTGATAATAAACCAAATGAAAGCTCAAATAATAAACCAGGAAGTAGTTCAGATAATTATGATAATCTTGATGCTGCATCAAGTCCATTCATTGTTCTCTTTGCTATTATTGGGGTTATCTTATTCTAAATTAATTAATTTGAATTTAGTCTCTTTTTTATTAATACTATTTATAAATATTTTAAGACGGCAAAGAAAAAAAGCAAATAATAGAAAAAGAAGAGAATGAATGATATAAAAGAATAAAAAGAAAGTAAAAAGTAGAAGAAGATGAAGAAAGAATAAAAGTAGAAAGGAGAGAATATAAAAAGAAAGAAGATAAAGTGTAATAAAACAAAAGAGATGATAAAAGAAGAAAAGAATGAAAAAAATAAAGGATGCAAATTTTATTGAAACAAATAAAAAAAGTGCAAAATTTAATGATGCAAAATTTAATGATGCAAAATATTTAGCAACATATTTTATTGATGCAAAATATTTTGAAATAAAAATAATTCATCATTTGATATTATTATATTTGATAATAAATTATATTATATATTAAATACATCATATTTCTTTATTATTTATCTTTCTTTTTATTATTTCATATATTAAATTATTATTCATTCATTTATTATTTATATTTCATTTATTAAATAAAATGAAATTGAAATTGTAAAATATCAATCAATTAAATATTCATGAATAATAATTTATTAATATTTAATAATTGAAATAACAAATAATAATGTAACATTAATGATATATTCAATATATTCTTTATTTGATTTGTTCAATATTAGATTATTCTATTTCATTATCATTTCATTATTTCATTATTTTATTTCATTATTTCATATTCATTTATTATTTTTTAAAATCAAATAACAATAATATTGATATTCATTCATCATATTCATTTAATATAATAAACATACACACCATTTAATAATAAATAATGAATAATTAACATTGAAAATATTGATTTATTCAATATTTTGTTCAACATAAATCAATAAAACATATATTTTGATAATACACAAATGAAATAATAAAGAAATATACAATACTCAAGAATTAATAAAAAAGAAATAAAAAGATAATGAATGAAGGAAAATAGTTTTGATAAATAATAGAAGAAAGAAATAGAAACAACAACGAAAAACAAATAATATAAAAAGAATATAAAGATATAAAAGAATAAAAAGAAAGTAGAAGAAGAATATAAAAATAATAAAACACAAA